TTATGGATTTTCTTGAATGGTTTAGAATATAAAAAGAGCTCCACTTTTAGGCTTGGCTAAATCTATAAATAAAAACAATCATAACATTCTGCACAATTGGACACGTCGCAATTATAGACAGCGGCTAGATCTACAGCAAATATAAGGGATTTTCGCTTTTAAAATCACTAACTTGCTGTCCCGCGGTTGTCCGCAATAAAGAGAGGAGGGCATAATTGTGAAAAGACGTGATGCTGACAATAATGATAGGAAACAAATGATTTACTAGCTCTACTCTTCACGGATCTACTCAGTGGGGATGGAGACGATCTGTGTTTGTAGGTCCAATGCGGGGTGCCCTCCCCTCCCTACCATTCCCAAAACCCATGACAGAGACACTAGGGGAGGTCACTAGTGGTTCTTGTACGTCGTCCCAGAGTTAGATTAAGCGAAAGTTTGAGTGAGATGGGCCTATGGTGGTTATCTAAGAAGAGTGAAAGTCTCAGCATTTGTAGATATCATAGAAAAGGTAGCATTTTTTCCAATTGAAAGTTGTTTTAGGTCATATTAAAACACCATTTATTTCAGCTTTGAGTTAACCGTATACTATGTTCTGTGAATAGTCCACGCCTTTTTGACTGACTGCTATTAGCTATTGAATCTTAGCTACTTGCAGAAAAGACACACCAAAAACTTAACAGAGAAGTATTTCTTTGTTTTCTCCAGTGCAGTGTAGCGAACAGCTTTCAAAACGTTTATGAAACTATTCCGAAATTTGAAATGAGTTATTGCCTTTAGGTTGAGATCGTTATGGTGCCAAGAACCGTCATGATTAAGCATGATCAAGGAAAAGGCGAAGAGGAGATGAGACTACAGCGCGATAGAGAATTCCCTTCAACAAACGAGGTCTTTCATAGCTTTGTAACAGGAGAAAAATGGAAGCATTATAAACTTGACGTTTTGGATAGACTGCGAACACCTAGGTGGCTTTTGAATCCTACAACATTAGATGATGTTCCTTTGTCGATTCGTGAACAATGCGTTCGTCAGTGTAAATTCTATAGCAAGAGGAAACGCCTAACGCCAGTTCGGTAATGCAGGTACGGTTACATCGTGAAAATTTCATTTAAATCTTGTAAATATTTGTCTTTGTTCTAAGTTGTTACGTTGTTTCAATACAGAAAACATTTCAATAAATTTATTTTCAGAGGAATGAAATTCACGTACGGAAATGTTGTAGTCCTCGTTAGAGAGGGGTAGAATGCGATTCCCTATTTTCCCTTAAGATCACCATCTTGGAGGTGGGAGTCGGAGCTTGTGTCGATGGATACAACCCTAGCCCCGTTTATTTGGAGAAAACCTCTTCCGGGTAGAAGACTCACTTGCCTGCCCCTTGTACCCTGGGCATCACCCTTGTCGATAGTAGGCCGCCGGTCGCCCTCCTAGCCCAGCCAACTTTTCACGATATAAACAGTTTTTCTCTCCTTCCTTGTCAACTCTGGCAGGGCGAGACAATCAGCGCATGCGCTATTTCTGTTGGCTCAGGTAAAGGAGTCGACACTATTCTCATATAAACGCAGGGCTCAAGTTTTTTTTTTTTTTTTTTCCTTTTTTTTTCGCACAAGCACTACTACAGCTATACCAATAAAATACTACTATAAGTACACAAAATACACTTCCTACTATACATAAATAATGGCTGACACAAAGACTGTTTAGGTACAATTACTACTATAAAATAGGACATAAGTTTGACTCAGCTGGCTGGGTGACCCTCTTTCCCGGCACTATCCATATAAACAGAGCCTCTGTAGGAAGGCGACGGCAAACGTAAAGCCAAAATCGCATTTTTTGTAAATGTCTTTGCCGTCCTTGCACAAATACGACCTGAAATTAAAAAAAATGTTAAGTTTACTTGGAAAGGGGAACTGCACGGCGATAAGTTTAACTATCTGTCTGAATTACAGTAGATCTCTCTTGATCGTTTGGATTCGACTGTGCTCGTGTAAAATTTGACGTGATGCACATGTATGAAAAATTCTCTAAAGTATTTTCCCCAACACCTCATGCAAGTGCTCCATAGGCATGCAATTGCGTCCTGACACTTTTATGTCTGCTTTTCGATGGAGTTAAAAGGTCGCTTTATATTTTGCGGAGAGCTGATGGTAATAAGCGGAGCTCCACAATCAAATTTTTACTTAATCAGGGCCATGATAAGTGCCGGAGTTGTACTCCCTTATATAAGCCATATAGGCATCAGTACCTCCCTAAAGGGTAAGGGTTTTTGTGCCGTTTTGGTCTGAACTGAAATGGGTATAGAGTTATCCATTTTGATCTGGAATCAGGTATGGTTTTCGAGGGAACTACGGGAATTTATGAACGTATGTATCGTTTCAATTCCAAATGCGTAAGACAGAAAGAGAAATATGTGAATTGGAAAAGGATTTTAAGAAGTCTTTTTTGTTGCTGTTCTAATCTAAGTAATGATGACATATTTAATAGAGCGCAGGTCTGAAAAAAGGGATATGGATTTTGGAGGCCAAATCTGAAAACGAGTGTAAAAAATGACATTTTTTGGTTCTGAAATTGGGTCAGGTTTCCGAGAACCGAGCAACACACCCCCACCAAGAATTCCAAAAATACCCCCCCGGACAAGTGTGCGATCAAACTTGTGTACCTAGCGTGATCTCCAGCGTCTGTTGTCAATACTGATGCGAGTGCAAATAAATACTCATCTAGCCCCTCGAGATCTGGTTTTGTTTATTAAGTTGTGTAAGGAATACATCGTTCAAAATTCGATCTGTCACTTCTGATGAAGTGACATGCCGGATGACGTTATCCTAGCAACTTGGTCTCCAAGCAAATTGATTGCTTGAAACATCACATTATTGTCACCATTAAACACAGTCCTCTGAAGGTAAGTAAAGTTTAATTTCTGTTTGTAATAATGACAGCCAAGTCATGACAAATTAATTCTTTCAACAAAAACGTCTACCGAGGAAGATCGAAAAATGTTTGGACAGTAAAACAGGTGGTCCTGAAAACGCAACGTTGATTTACCTGTTAAAGTTGAATTTGTGAGTTTTGTCTATCTTATGCCCGAAAAACACCATGATAAACAAAAATAAAAAACGAAAAAGCTACACCACAAACATATCTTTTATAAACGAGCTTTTATAAACGAGCTTTCTTACTAATAGTGAATATACTATTAATACTTATTGTAACTAATCACAGATTGGGAAATATTGGCTCCCGAAGTGGACGAGTGAATCGAATTGAAACTATGTGCATTATTGTTATGATTGTTCATTACTGAGAAAGCTATGAAAGGTTGGACAAAAATGCAATAGGCTAGCTAGTATTCATAAATATTTCCTAATGATTCATATGGTTTGAATACCTTACTGCCTGGATGTGAAAATCGTGTCTACATAGTCTTTCATTTCGAGATTGATTAGAGCTAAACACCATCTTATAAATAAATATGACAAGAAGAAAGGAAGCAAAATCCATCCTCATTTTTTTCCTTAAGTCAGTTAGAGATAACAAATAATGATTAAAGAGACTCGTGGTTACTATTTGAGCTGACCACATGTCTTGAAAACAGATTGCACGAACGGAGTTCCCATTAAGAATCCCCAACACCTAGTCAAGTTCTGAACAATCAATAAATTATCAAGAAAGGTTAAATGGTACCGTCCTTGATATTTTGCATTATTACTACGGACTAAGCCCATGTTCAAACGCCGAACTTTTTAAGAGGCGACATAAAAAAATTCGAATATTAGTTTAGGCCCGCATAATGAACCAAAGTATCGAAACTGCCCCCCGCTAATTCTGACGCCAAACCTTATTAGTTTGAAAAGAGACACATTTCATAAATGTTGTTCGGCACATGAAATGGCCCATGTCTGAATCAAAGTATTACAAATCAAAATAGCTGTTTCGATCCAGACGCTGAGGCTTTTATTTTCTCAATCTTACGGATGTATAAGGTATGTTGTCACGGACGTTTGGCGTCTGAACCGCACATGAGGATTATTGTCTTCTTGATCCTTTCTTATCAATTCAAAAGAGACGCAAAAGAATCCACACTGCTGTTAAAACTAAAGATTAGGGAGTTGACGTCCGGGGTGTTCTTGGGTTAATTTTTTGCTGGATATGTGCCGCTGGCCTCTCAGAGCCCCTACCCCATTATTAATAGTCTGTTCTGTGGCCAACGATAGACCCCATCTTTATCGCTTTTGGGCCAACTGTAATTTTTCGCGATTCGTAACTTAGTAACTTTCCATTTATGTATCTATCTTATCATTCAAATAGGTCATCCTAAAATGGATTAATCCATTTTGTAAATAGAATAAAGGACACTTTACTTTTCACCTACAGTACAAACATTCTGATACGTTTGCTAAACGTAAATATGAAGAACTGTCATACTCCAAAAATTAGAAAATGTGCGTCCCCATTCTGCTAACTCTGTTGAAAATGCAACCTCATTATAGTCAATCCAGTCGTGAAAATGAGACCCCATCCAGCAGCACATCCCCATTAGCCAATTATAAGGAAGTACCTCCCCCCCCGGGGGGGGGACGAAGACCTCAGTACTGTGGTCTATCTGTGATATGGACGAACGGACTTGATACGTACCACAGTAATCCAGTGGCTTCACGCCGCTGTGGTTACCACGGCATAAATTGGCAATCTTATAAAATAAAATGAAATAAATAAAATACAATTAAACATATCTATATAATTGTGTGGTGCCAAAAGGTTGTTACTAAAACGGGAAACGAGGAACGGGGAGTAGGGAACGGAAAAATGAAAAATTGAGAATTGGAAATGGTGTTACTGATAGGCGGCTAGTGTGCAAGTTAGGTTTTGTTCTCATTTTTCATTTTCCTGTTCCCCGTGCAAGTTCCCCAATCCCAGTTACAACTTTTAGTAACATCCACCAGAAAAAAGCTAAAACAAGTAAGGTTTAATTTCCTTTAGATGATAATCCAGCCATCAGATAGAGCATGAACTACTGGATTATTATTCCAACACTGGCTTGCACGATCGTTGTCATCGTGCGTTCAGCCCCTCAGTGGGGCTATATGCCCTACGAATATTTCCACGAGTTCTACGATCATTATGGCGAAGATATCCGAAACAATATCGATCACATACAGCAGGTGCACGAAAAGCACCATGAAAATCAGCACGTCGCTCACGAGAAATTCCAGGAACATTACTACGATTTCAGAGAAAAGCATCAAGAAGGATCAGAGCATTACCAAGAGTCACTCGAGAGGGCGCAAGAGGACCAGCGGTCTACTACAGGAACTGAGAAGAAACATATCATTTCCCATAAAGGTAAAAGAATTTGTAAAATAAAAAAAAAGACCTTTGATATCACTGTATAAGGCTCATTCGCGTCGCCTAACAAGCTCCATTTTGTCTGGAGTATAATTTAGAGAGTTAAATAATCGTATAGATAGATATAAACCTATATTTCGACGTGGTAGCTCTTATAGTTTTTGCACAAATTAAAAACCGCTATCCATAGAAGCCCTACTTGCATTTTTGGTTGGGAGAAAGTCTCCTGCCGTCGGGGGCGCTCCGTTCTCGATCAAAGAGTGACTGGTTACTATAATTCCTAAATGGAGTATAGTTGGTTAATGAATGATGAACCTTTTCAGCCAACTAAAGCCGTTGTCATGGTAACAAGCGTGGACTTTCGCGCTTTGCTTGCGACGTTTAATCTCGTCCCCAGATCTCTTGTCGGTGACGCAGACGAAGATCTACCGCTCACGGCTGTGTTTCAACCAAATCACCTAAAATCATTTCTGGTGAAAA